CAGAGCCGCACCATCCGCGTGCCCGTGCACATGCACGACCTGATGAATGCGTTCCGCAAGCACCGGAGAGAGTTCCAGGCGACGCACGGGAGGCTGCCGACCGAGACGGAGCTGGCGACGCGGATGGGCATCACCGAGGCCAAGCTGCGCCAGATCGACTGCAACGCCGCCGTCACCACCGTCTCCTTCGAGACCGAGCTCTCGGGCGTCAAGGGGGGGCACAAGGCGGGCGCGAGCGCGGGGGCGACGCTGCAGTCGCGGCTGGCCGACGTCAAGCCGCAGCCGGAGGCGGTGCAGGAGCGGACGATGATGCGCGACGACCTCGCCGAGCTGCTCCGCTCCAAGCTCACCGAGCGGGAGGCCTCCGTCCTCCGGATGAGGTACGGATTTGACGACGGGCGCGCCCGCACGCTCGAGGAGATCGGGAGGGGGCTGCAGGTGACGCGCGAGCGCGTGCGCCAGATCGAGACCAAGGCGCTGCAGAAACTGCGCTCGCCCGGCTGCGCGCAGAAGCTGAGCGACTACCTGGAGGACCAGGTGTGAGCGTCCTTGCCTGTCCCCGTTTTGTGTACCATCGGGTCGCCCGGTTGGGATCATGTGCGCGGCCTGCCACCGCGCTCCCGCCGCTTGTATGATGGTGTGCGAGCTCTTGTGATTATGCATTTCTCGCTCATACCACTCCACAAAAAGGGAACGCGGGCCGATTGCGAGGAATCGTCGTCTCCCCAAAGTGAAAAAGAAAAAGTCGGGCACAGTCCGCGCTCACCGGCCCACTCATCGATACCGCTGGCCATGGCCTCTCGACCGCCCGGGCACCGCCGCATGTCCTCGTCGAGACCGCCGCGCGCCGCTGCCAAGCGATCTGCGAATCGCTTTGCGGCGACACTCAAGGATCAGTTCCTCTCCTCTGAGGCCGACGACTCGGACAGTGACGAACAGCCACGGCCCAAGCGGCGGGCCACTGCGGCGGGCGGCAAGGCGAAGCCCTCGCGTGGCGGCGACAGCGACGGCGACGACAGCTATGTCGAGAGCGGCGCCTCGGATGGCGGGTCCTCCTCCGAGGGCGACGACAGCGACTGGGATGGCGAGTCGGAGGAGGAGGAGGAGCCGCGCCGGCGCGTGGTGCCGGCCGAGGAGCAGCCCGAGTGCGTCCCTCCAGAGGACACGTCTCCCGAGGCCTGCCCTTAATCGCGCCGGCGAGTGCTGCACAGCCCCTTCTGCGCTGATCAGCGCCGCGTGCCGTCGCAGGCGGCTTTGCGTGCTGCGGTCGCAGAGCGGCGGGACCTGCGGAAGGGCAAGCTGGGCAAGGAGGCGCGGGCGGACGCGCTGCACGCGGCGAGGGAGGCGCACGAGGCGAGCCTGAGCAAGGGGTCCCGCGCGGTGCGGGGGGCGGGCGGCGGGGCGCAGTCGCGGGCGGACGTCTCCGCGTACTACCGAGCGCTTGCTGCTGCTGCGGCGCTCCTTCGACGCGCTCATCCCCCGGCGAGTAGGCCGAGGCGCGCCGCCGCCGCGGAGGAGGAGGACGAGGACGAGGACGAGGCCGACATCGAGAGGGAGCGCAAGCGCAACATCCGCCGCAACCAGGCCGAGCTGGTCAAGCTCGGTTTGGCGTGAGAACGCATCGGTCGACGGACGCACTTCGAGGCATGCGGAGAGGAGAGACGGTCTGTGACGTGTGGACGGGGGCACGGGGAGGGAAGGGGAGCCTCTAGTGTGATCGTCGGACAGCATTCACTGGCTCCTCCGCCCTGTGAGGAGAGACGGGGCCGCAACTTCTTTGTCCTCACGTCTTTGTATCTGCGATGATGCATGTGATCCTGAAGTGTGAACAGCCGCTGAACCTGTACCTGATCCTTCTTTCGGTGGTGGGGTACGTATGTGTGGCAGTAGGCCCGCCGCAGGCGCCGATTTTTTCGATTTTTTGTGCCTCTGCCATTTTTCACTTGTTTTCATGGGAATTCGACGTACTACACGGTAGTCCTAGTCGGTACTTGCGGCCATGCGGCTTGCGGGGCCATGCTATCACGCCTTGCGACAGCCTGTCGCGTGTCGGCGCTGCTGACCGTGCCATGATGCACAATTGATCACCTGCTATCACCTGCTGCATAGCTCGCGGCCTTAGTATCAAGCATTCAGTGACGACCTGATCGTACGGCCAGTAGGAAGGTGTCCTTCCAGCTGCGTGCACGCTTCTGACGCAATGGCCAATGCGCGTCACAAACTGCCTCAGATTGGCTGCTGGCACTCTCGAGGAGGCTATGTTGCCTACACAGCCTCGCGCGCATGTGGGCAGTCATGAGGGACCACGCACCTTCTCAGGACAGCACCAGTGCCTCTCTCTTGGACCGGCAAACGTGGTGGTCTCGTGTTACCAATGTGGGACCAGTGCGGCATCGCGCCATCGACAGCTCTGAACTGCGCCTCACCACTGACCGGGAAGGCCGCCAAGTGGGCCAGCACAGGTCGCACATTGTGGCAGCAGTCAGCAGTGCATGGCTGATAGCTAGAGCAGCAGCGTCAGGGTCGCAGGGTCGGATCGTGTCAAGCCTCTCGCCCGGCCGGCCGCGTGCAGACGTCGCTCGTCGGCCTCGGGCCTGACGCCTGTCCTGCTGTCTGCGCACGTCTGGAGTGATCTGTCGGCGGTCAGTACGACCGATCAGGTCGGAGTTTTCTGATGGTTGGAGGGTCTATCTGTATGTACTCCTCGAGATCTCTCCAAATCTGCCCTCTAATCAACCGTAATCATTCGGGAAGTCGGTGCTAACGGAGACTAACGGAGCCGGAGCTCCCCGTTTGTCTAGGCGGAAATCCCAAACGAGCCGGAGGGCGGGGGCGCCACGCGCTCTCTGTGGGCGCTATAGAAGCGCACATTGCCCCACATCTAGCCCCACGTACACCTACTCACTAGTACCGGCCACGGTGCGCCCCCCCCGCGGCAGCGCAGATGGACATGGAGGCCCGCGTCTCTAGAGGTTTCCGCTCTCCCACCCCACCGCCGACGAGCCTCTTCACACCTCAGCCCCCCTCGGTGGATCCAAGGCGCGGCGCCCGCCACTGCGGGCCACCGCTGGGCGCCCGGGCCCCGCTCAGCTAGCGAAAGGGCGCGAGGACGACCTCAAGATCGACTGCGCCTCTGGCGGGTACGGCGACGCGAGCATAACCGGCTTGGGGTCGAGACGGAGTCCGGCGACGGCGCACAAGTGGCCCGGCACATCGCTTCCCGCCTCTGGCAGGTCAACCATCATGTGGATGCAGCAGAGGTTCGAGTTCGCGGCGCAGAGGTGCTCCGAACGGATCTCGTTGCGGAGACCGACCTAGGGGGCGGGGTTGTGGGGTGGGGACGGAGGGGGAGTGGTGTGACTGCTCCTGTGGTGAAAAAAACGGCTTCTGAGGAAGCGTGAAGGAGAGACGGCAGTGTAGCCGTCAGGTGGCCGGCCAGTAATTAATGTAGGCGGTGCGCCTGCACGCATGGGGTCGAGACTTGGCAGAGCAAGTCGTCAGCCGGCCCGCTAAGCGAGGTCGGAAAGAGAGGGAGTTGGTCAACGCCGGATGGCGTGTACTTGGCGCCCAAGCAGCAGCGTAGGGAGATGCAGCAATATTCGTTGGCGTCTTGCTCGCCCAACTGGATGCCGATGATGATTCCGTTGTTGTGGGCGGTAGACCGGATCGTGCTCGCGCAGCCTCCCGAAGAGCAGCACGATGGCACGCTGCAAAAGAGCCACTCGTTTGCAGCTTTCGTCGCTGCAATATCGATCAGGCCCATATCCGTCAACTGTACAGCGTGTGGCGGCAGCGAGGGATGCGTGGTGGCCTCACTGTCCTCAGTCAGTAGCACGCCGATGTCACGGCTTCCTCGAAAAGAATTTTAAAGCCTTCCGACACAGGGCACGGGACTGGCGCGCACGGAAAAGAATTTTGAGAACGAAACTCCCTCGCACGACACCGGCGCCTGCAGCCTCTGGGGGGGCGCGGGGGCCCCAGAGGGTGTCCACGCGGGGGGGAGATGGGGTCCCATGGCCCGCCGCTGTCGCCGATTTTTTCGGATTTTTCTTTTTTGCGTTATTTTTACTTTGTTTCCATGACAAATGGGAATTTCGGCGTAGCTTGTGGCCATGCTATCACGCCTTGCGACAGCCTGTCGGCGCTGCTGACCGTGCCATGATGCACAATTGACCACCTGCATAGCTCGCGGCCTTAGTTTCAAGCATTCAGTGACGACCTGATCGTACGGCCAGTAGGAAGGTGTCCTTCCAGCTGCGTGCACGCTTCTGACGCAATGGCCAATGCGCGTCACAAACTGCCTCAGATTGGCTGCTGGCACTCTCGAGGCTATGCCTACACAGCCTCGCGCGCATGGGCAGTCAAGAGGGACCACGCACTTCTCAGGACAGCGCCGGTGCCTCTCTCTTGGACCGGCAAACGTGGTGGTATCGTGTTACCAATGTGGGACCAGTGCGGCATCGCGCCATCGACAGCTCTGAACTGCGCCTCACCACTGACCGTGAAGGCCGCCAAGTGGGCCAGCACAGGTCGCACATTGTGGCAGCAGTCAGCAGTGCATGGCTGATAGCTAGAGCAGCAGCGTCAGGGTCGCAGCGTCGGATCGTGTCAAGCCTCTCGCCGGGCCGGCCGCGTGCAGACGAGAGACGTCGCTCGTCGGCCTGTCTGCTGTCTGGAGTGATCTGTCGGCGGTCAGTACGACCGATCAGGTTAGAGTTTTCTTATGATTAGAGGGTCTATCTGTATGTACTCCTCGAGATCTCTCCAAATCTGCCCTCTAATCAACCGTAATCATTCGGGACGTCGGTGCTCTGAGCGACTCTGTCTGAGCGCCGGAGCCCCGCCCGTTTCCGCACTGCGGTAGAGGGCCCACAGCGTCCTAATCTAAAATCTGAGGATTAAGGATTCAGACCTCGCTTTAGTGAGGCCAAAGTGAGTTTATGGATGGGTGAGAATGATGCGCGACACGCGAGGAGTCACGCGTACCGAGAGTCGTCGGCGACTTGGAGCACTTGGAGTGCAGTCATCAGCCTCACATCCAGGGCCGGGGAGCTGAGGAGCGCACCCAGCGGGCCGGATGATCGGGATCTGCGACTTTTTTTGCTGCGCGTCTCAGAATTTTTCTCAGCGTGATGAGCGAGACGTGGAAGAGTGCCACCGTCGGGTAGGACGGGTAGGCCCGGAGCATCGGAGTAGCCGTCGTGGTCGCGGCGAGCAGCGCCGGCCACTCCGGCGCCGCGTCGGCAACATGGGAAAAAAAAGTAATATATCCTTACTTCCAACACCCGGACGTTCCCGGGTGATGGAAGGTTCGACGCACCCCCGGACTGGGAAGAGAGGTCCCAGGAGCACGCTCCTGGGCTGTCCGCCCCGCCCCCACTTGCCCTGACTGCACACTCAGGATAGGTGGATAGCGTGCCCCGACAAACGGCGACACATAGCGGGGGACACTGCGCCGGGGGGTATGCCTAACTTTGGTGCTTTGTGTGGGTCGCGTTCCCTTGGTAGCTGCGTGGCTGAAGCCCTCATGCCGCCGGCGTACGTCCACCCCCCCCCCCCTCGGAGGTGGTTCCCCCAGCGGCTGGCCCCTCGAGACTGTCGGTGCTTGGCGGGAGGAGGGGGAGAGGGAGGCCCGGTGGGAGGAGAGGGAGAGGGAG